TCCCTCCCTCCCTCCCTACCTCGTTGACCCTCCTTCCCTTTCTTTTCCTGAATCCCTAACTCTCCCTCCCTCTCTTTCCTTCACTCCTTCTCTTTCTTTCTCCCTCTCCCTAACTCTCCTTTCCTCCCTACACATATAAGTTCTCTCGTAATCAGCTTTTAGTACAGAAAGGAACACCCCGAGTCTCTACTCATCCTGCCCGCTAAAGCTGACCTACAGGAAGCGCGCGTGTGTGTGTGTGTGTGTCAGCTCTCTAAAAGGCGGGTGTGTGTGGAGGGGGGGGGAGGAGGTTAGGCCTGACTGATTACGAAACTAAGGCATCAAACTATACGCATGAGTTGGTTTGGTTGAATTAGGCTATATTGGGGTATATTAGGATGGGTTGGGTTAGGTTAGGTTAGGACTGCATTAAAATTAGTGCCCATTGGTGCTGGGATCAAATAGGGCTAGATCTGCAGTCTTAATTAGTAGGTTAGATTTGGTTGGTGCCTATTTAGACTGGCCCAATCCTATGGTTAGATAAGACTGGCGTTTATGAGGAATGGAACCCATACGACCATTCACTAAAAAGACAACAAAACTATTGAGGCCCCCCTCATGTCCATATCGAACATACATTTCACAGTGGAGTGTATTGAAAATGCCCCCCCTCCCTCCCCCTCACTACCAGTATGGATTTCCAATAATAATTGATAATAATACCGGAAATACGTGGCCAGGACGCCATGTTATGTGGCCCCGAGATATGCTCTGCGTCTCGGTGATATGCTCTGTGGCCCTAAGATATGTTGTGTGGCCCTGAGACATTGTGTGTTGACCGAAAACATCCTGTGTGGCCCTGAGATATGTTGCGTTGTCTTGGGACATCCTGTTAATGTAGTCTCAGGACATGGATTAAGACCGACATAGGCTAACATCACTGCCCACCCTACTCACAGTATCCCGTCAGCCGGAGTATTTACTGAAGGTGATTCTACAGAAGCGGGAGAACTAATGGTAATAAAAACATTAATAAAATGAATGAAATTATTCCTTCCTTGTGTAGTCGTTGTGTTGAGGTCACATGTCCGGTAGTGTGATGACGAGTAGATACGCTCACAGACTGACCTCCTCGTTCTCCTCCTCATCTTCCTCCTCCTCCTCCTCGTTCTCCTCCTCATCTTCCTCCTCCTCCTCCTCCTCCTCCGACAGGTGGTGAGGGCGACATCAGCAGGTAGAGAGCACAACACTTATAGACAGGTGTGCCGGCCATAAACACGGTCTCATCATGCCACCTACACCTTGGGTCATGGTGGTGGGGGTGATGGTGGGGGTGGTGTTGTGGGGGTGATGGTGGTGCTAATGATAGTGGTAACGATTTTGGTGATGATGATGATGATGATGATGATGATGATGATGGTGTTGATGATGGTGATGATGATGGTGTTGATGATGATGATACGTGCCCCTGTTATAACGATAAACCCATCTACCCGCTCCCTTAACTTCTTCCACTCACAGATTGTGTTTGAGGGAGTGGGAGGAGGAGTGAGGGAGAGAAGGAGAGAGAGGGGAAAAGGAGCAGGAGGAGGGGATGGGAGAGGAAGAAGGGGAGGAGAGAGGATAAGACAGAGATGAGGAGAGTGTGAACCGTGTATAAGAGATAAATAGAGAGTATGAAGGCGGAGGAGTGAGAGAGGTTGAGGGTGAATGGTGGAGAGTGTTGGTTGTTGACGGAGAGGCGCGGGTGAGAGGTGAAGGGCAGGAGTAAGAGGGGCGGAGAGAACAGGAGAACAACCTGAAAAGTGAGAGAAATAATGAGAAAAAGAGAGAGAGATTATATCAAGTTGTCAGCACACGACTACAGAGCTTAGCGTCTATATGGTGAAGGCGCCACACCGCCAGGTATAGCGCCACAGTAAACAAGTGTCAACAGTGAAGCCATTGACAACAACGACGAATTACATGCATGTCAGCGTTTATATTTAGATAAACTAGAAGACTTTTCTCTTCACCACCTCCCCACACCCCCATCACCACCTCCCCACACCTCCATCACCACCTCCCCACACCTCCATCACCACCTCCCCACACCCCCATCACCACCTCCCCACACCTCCATCACCACCTCCCCACACCTCCATCACCACCTCCCCACACCTCCATCACCACCTCCCCACACCTCCATCACCACCTCCCCACACCTCCATCACCACCTCCCCACACCCTCACACACGACACTGATGTCTTGTTGTTGCTCTTAACTGATTGATTTAAACCAGCCCGAGGCTAGACAAGTCTCGCCTTAGAAGACCTTTGTGTTGAGGGCGAGTGTGAGAGGCGAGGCGGCCGGGGACACATTACTATGATGGGTTTACCTTGTGCTGCTGCCTGGACGCCGCCTTGGATGTACTCGTCCTGGTGTACAGGTGTGAATTAATGTCAAGGGAAGAGTTAAGTGAAACACGGATTATAGGAACATAAATTTTGGCCTAAAATAAAGAAATGATCTTGACTGTCAATATGGCCACATAATAGGCGGCTCATGTGGAGTTTTTATTGAGCTAATACACTCTTCATCTTTCTAATGGGCTCGATTTTAATGTATCATTTCTAATGAGCGCCAACTTTAATGTACTCCAGTTCCAATAATCAAGTCAGATTAAGTCGGGATCCATTAGGACTGGGCCCATTTAACCAGGCATCGAAAATACAATCCATGACTACATCTTCATATGATGTCCTGGTTCACCTCTATCGCTCAGGTCAAGTCCAGGTATGTGAGCAACGTGAGGACATCATCTCTCAGTCAGGTATTGTTTAGTGACTTTGTTCACGTGGTTAAACACCTGAGTTCTTAGATGCAGATTTTTATTTACCACTATCAACATAAAGTCCACACCACCTATAAGCCAAACAGACCGGTGGCTTCCATATAATTTTTTTAACCGGCAACTCCACTGGGTCCCTCCCGCCCCCACCTCGCAAAACATTATTATTATTATTGTTATTGTTATTATTATTGTTATTATTATTGTTATTATTATTATTATTATTATTATTATTATTATTATTATTATTATTATTATTATTATTATTATTATTATTATTATTATTATTATTATTATTAGTTCCACTTCGCTGAGTTGTGTTGAGTTAGTTTAAGTTATTTCTCCTTCAGATAAGATACACTGCGTTACATTAGATTGGTTAGAGTAAGTTAAGTTTGTCTGGGAGATGTTAGATTAGATTACAGCTATACTAGGACCCAGTACATAAGAATGGAGGAAACTGCAGCGAGCTTATTGGCCCTCACCACCCACCACCACCCAACACCCCCTCACCACCCCTCACCACCCAACACCCCCACCACCCACCACCCTCACCACCCACCACCCCCCACCACCACCCACCACCACCCACCACCCCTCACCACCCACCACCACCACCCAACACCCCTCACCACCCAACACCACCCAACACCCCCTCACCACCCAACACCCCTCACCACCACCCACCACCACCCACCACCCTCTCACCACCCAACACCCCTCACCACCCAACACCCTCACCACCCACCACCCCTTCACCACCCACCACCACCCAACACCCCTCACCACCCAACACCCTCACCACCCACCACCCCTCACCACCCAACACCCTCACCACCCAACACCCCTCACCACCCACCACCACCCAACACCCCTCTCACCCAACACCCCCTCACCACCCACCACCACCCAACACCCCTCTCACCACCCAACACCCTCACCACCCACCACCACCCACCACCACCCAACACCCTCACCACCCAACACCCCTTCACCACCCACCACCACCCAACACCCCTCACCACCCAACACCCTCACCACCCACCGCCACCACCACCCAACACCTCACCACCCACCACCCACCACCACCGCTTACTGTATTTTACGGTATTATTCTGTAGTGTTCGATAGTGTGGATGAAAGGAAGGGTCCCCCCCCCCCCACCCTGATCGCGACCTCCCAGTGCATATAGTCAACTATAATAGCGTGGGCAAGTAGTGATGAGGTGCCCTACGCTATCACTGCCCTCTCCACCCTTCTCCTCCACCCTGACTCCACCCCTCCCCTTCCACCCTGACTCCACCCTCCCCTCCACCCTTCCTCCGTCCTTCTCCTCCGCTCCCTGACCTTACCCTCCCTCCACCCTGACTCCACCCTGACTCCACCCTCCACCCTGACTCCATCCTTCTCCCCCACCCTCCTCCTCCGCCACAAATGGCTCTTTTCCTCATCATTGTACATTCATGACGGCCGCGGGAAGAGTGATGTGCTCGTAAAGGGCCCCTACAGGTATACTGGAGCCTCTGAGATAGATCATCACGGCCACGTCTGGCTATATGACGTAACGCTTCTCCAGAATTTTCCGCATATTTTTTTCCTGACCCGTGAGTGGAGGAGGCGGCCGCTGGAGACCACTATTGTCGACCCAACGCGGTATCGTCCTCACCTCTATGTCTGTATTATCTCGGCTCTTTATAGTATACCAAAACCCAACACAGAGCCGACGGTATTATCAGCGGCAACCAGCACTTTGGTACGGATGTGACGTCACACTCTAAACCCCGGCCGTCTCTCTAGAGGGCCGCAGGAAGTCTTACGTTGGAAAATATCACGAACCTTCCTGAAATAAGTACCTGACAGCTTTGTCGGTTATCCATAGTCAAATTGCCTTACTGTATACCTGTACTGTCTCGGCACATCGGAAACTGTTTACTCCCACGGCCTGCGTACATCGTATACCTACAGTACATGTCTATATGTGTGTGTGTGTGTGTGTGTGTGTGTGTGTGTGTGTGTGCGTGTATGCGTGTGTGTGTCTGTGTGTGCGTGTATGCGTGTGTGTGTGTGTGTGTGTGTGTGTGTATAACAGTAAAAATATTAATCTTCATTCATTCCAGTTAATTATTCATCATTAATAATCACTTAATCTTCTTTATTTCACTAATTTATTTACTTAGTCATCTCTGGCAGGTAAGCTGAGGATGAGCCCAGGTGTGTACGGCTGGCTGTGGGTGAGTACTGCACAACCTGCGTCACCCAACACTTGTTAAGGTATAGTTTCAGGTGCACCAGTTTAACATTTCCAGTCGTATTAACTCTCCATTGTAATGCTAACTCTTCTTGGCGATGCTAACTTTCCATGGTAATGTTAACTCTTAATTTAACGTTAATTTTTCTAGGTGATGTAGATGGAAATGCAATCAGCAGTTTTAAATTACATTCGGTGATTTATTTTAAAGCCAAATGTCTCGTGTTTTTATCCTGCCCCGGGTGAGTGGGAGAATTTACCAGTCGATGTGTGTTTGTCTGTTTATCTGTCATTACAGTCTTCGCCATTATGCCCGTCGTTAGTCATAAGTTCGTAGAATCACCCGAGACCGAGACTGAGAACCGAGACCCGAGACTGGTGACCCGAGACCATTAGTAATTCTAGACTTTATCGATCACCTTGTGTCAGACCAGCACATAAAGTGACCATGTTATCGTCATCTTCTCTCTTCACATGATTGATTTGACACTTTCTTAGAGACGCGATAAAGAGACGTAAGTGGTGTCCTTATTGTGTGTTTTACCTCCTCCTACGGTAGGTGCTTCAGTGGTGTGTTGAAGACGGGTTTTAGGGTGCGTGAAGTAATCAAGTTTAGGGTTTTTATGCCAAGTGGTCTTGTATTTTTGTTTGAACTTGGTCTGGGTTTTTATATATGGTTTCGTATAATGGGTTTTTTAGTCATTTTTTTCTAATTTTTTTTTTAAGGAATTTCACATTATTTGGGGAAAGTTAAGTTAGGGGTTAAGTTAGGTAAGAGGGATATATGTGTTTACTTTGTCTGTTTGTGAGGTTTTGTGTACAATCATCCACTTTATTTGCCAACACAAGGTTCCAGAAAACACAAACGTTTGCATGATACATTTTCCTCCTAACTTAAGATGTCAGGGTGAATGTAACTGATTGATATAAATTCACGAACAAAAAGAAACAGTTTAAAGTGACGTCGAAATCATACTGAGACTCGACCTTAAGTAGACATATTTACCTACCAGACAAGATCAAGGTATATATATATTTCCCACAAGCTACAGTACTCTCTTTTTATCTCCTAATAGGCATTAAAGTAGTTAAGGTTGAGTCTTGGTGTAATTCTGACGTCATATGTGCATGGTAGTCTTCTTCTTTGCCGTAAATCATCCGGTTAATTGCAGTGTTTTTATTTACCAGGAATAAATCACCGTAAGAACATTAGTGAGTGGTTCCGGGGGGAGGGGAAGGGGTCATGGTTACGTGACTCTTGTTTACCTGTCTTGTGACCACTACAGGTGTGAGGTCTGTCACGTGGCCTGGCGGGACATACTTGGTTATACCTCAGGATTCAGGACTTATGAGTCTCAACACGTGGTATGAGAGTGAGTGAGTGAGTGAAATAAAAAGTGAGAGAGGAAAGAGAGAGAGATAAAAGACTTGAGAGAGAGAGATAAAAGAGTGAGAGAGAGAATTAACACTACCTTCTCATTGTTACCATCAGCAGAACTTTTCTTTGTCAATCACGTTTTATTAACCGCGTAAGTAGGCTATGTTGGTTGGATCGATACAGCGCTTGCCTCCTGTACCGAGTGTCGATGGTTTGCGCCCGGAGCACCCTCGGTTCGGTCAGATGTGAATGGGTACCTTGTTTTGACTGTAGAGGTGAAGGTGGTTGAGTGCTGCTAGTGCTGCGTTCTCTACCGAGGGCTTAGTGTGTTGTAACAGTGGGACTCCAAACCAGTGTATGCATTTCAATTAACGTTTGCACTCCTGGTCTTGACGTATGTAATTTGATAGATAGATAACTGCATAGATAAGTAGATGGATGGATGGATAGAGAGAGAGAGAGAGAGAGAGAGAGAGAGAGAGAGATGACACTAGCCGCTCACTCGTCGATGTGATTAAAAAATATATTGACAAAAAAGAAGCGTTGTGTTGCATTGTTATTGTACATACTGTGTATAGTGGCAACCTTCACCATTGTTACACTGGTTACGCTATATACAACCACAGCCTTTAAGGATTTGGGGCTTAATAGCGGCCTATTACGACTTTGGCCTATTACGATTGGGACCTATTAATATTGGGGCCTATTATGGTTGGAGACGATTAGGACTGGCCGATTAGGAGTGAGACCCATTAGGAATTAATTTATTAGGACCTAAAACTTCTAAGATAAAACTGTTAAAACTTAAAAGTATTAAGACTGGGGCCCATTAGAACTGGGGCCCATTAGAACTGGGGCCCATTTAACTAGGCTCATTTTAACCTTCACCCACCGTTTTACAGTAATAGGAACCATCAACCACACCACAACAACACCTCCCTCACCCGTTACTAACCTCCATTAGTTAGGTCAGGGAGGACCTGGTTCTGTAATTATTGTTTCCCGATGTGTCTTTCCAGGTAGTGATGTCATTGACCCTGACCCTTGACGTCATCTGCTTTAAACCAATGATCTTTCACAGCGTCAGTAGTCAGTGCACACACACACCTACGATCATGGATATGAACGTTTGGGGTTGGGTGTAAACGGGACTGCCCAGTATGGACCAATTGGCCCGCTGCAGTTTCCTCCATTCTTGTGTGTGTGTGTGTGTCCACCCAACCCACCCACCCACCCACCCACCCACCCATCCTTCCTTCCTTCCTTCCTTCCTTCCTTCCTTCCTTCCTTCCTTCCTTCTGATCTTACTGGTTACATCAATACCTAGGAGATTATGCCTATCACTGTGTTAATCATGGTAGCTTTTGAGTTCTGTCTTCATATTCGTGTTTACAATATGGCGGACAGCAGAAGTCCAGATAGTTCACATCATGACCTAACTTAACCATTTAGGAGTTATGGGGCCATTAAGACTATGACCCAATAGGATTACAGTCCATTGTTCCTAACAATGAAACTAGATAAGATTACGGCCTATTACAACCGGGGCCTATTATAACAGGGGCCTATTGTAACAGGGGCCTATTATAACCGGGCCTATTACAACCGGGACCTATTATAACCGGGCCTATTACAACCGGGGCCTATTATAACCGGGCCTATTACAACCGGGGCCTATTATAACCGGGCCTATGTAGTCCTAGGTTGTATAGGTCACTGCCTGCTGCCGTGTGTTGTTGTAGTTGTACCATCGGGAGTGAGGAAGGGTTGTGTAGAGGCCAGTGCTGAAGGAAGGAAGGAAGGAAGGAAGGAAGGAAGGAGGAGATAAGAAGGAAAGGGGGATGATTAGGAAAACAAATACAAAATGAGGACGAACAGTGAGAGGAGGTGGTGGTAGAGGGTCGTCTTGATGGTGATGGTAGAGGGTCGTCTTGATGGTGGTGGTAGAGGGTCGTCTTGATGGTGGTGGTAGAGGGTCGTCTTGATGGTGGTGGTAGAGGGTCGGCTTTGATGGTAATGGGTAGAGAGGGTCGTCTTTGGCAGGTGGTAGAGGGTCGTGTCTTTGATGGCGGGCCTAGAGGTCGTCTGCTGGCAGTGGTAGAGGGTCGTCTTACGGTGTGTAGAGGGTCGTCTTGATGGTGGTGGTAGAGGCCTGCCCTGATGGTGGTGGTAGAGTGGTCGTCTTGGTGATGATAGAGGGTCGTCTTTATGTAGGTGGTAGAGAAGTCGTCTTGATGGTGATGGTAGAGGGTCGGCTTGATGGTAATTGCAGAGGGTCGTCTTTATGGTGGTGGTAGAGGGTCGTCTTGATGGTAATGGCAGAGGGTCGCCTTGCGGTGGTGGTAGAGGGTCGTCTTGATGGTGGTGGTAGAGGGTCGTCTTGATGGTGATGGTAGAGGGTCGGCTTGATGGTGATGGTAGAGGGTAGTCTTTATGGTGGTGGTAGAGGGTCGTCTTTATGGTGGTGGTCGTGTTCGATGTGGCGGTTACCTGCGCCACTTAATTACTTATGACTTACCTGTGTGTAGGAGAGACGGCCTCCAGGTACCTCAACAACCCTGCGAACTACACGAGTGTAACGAGGATGGCCGACCCATGGGCCACCTTGGCTTGAAATTGTTTAAGGTGTAGGAGCTGTCGCCAACTCAACAACCGCACCCTGAGTTAACGAGCTGCATGGCCCAGTGTCAAGGAATAGTCCTAGAAGACCGGACAACTCGCCAACTGCACTGGCTAACCATTACACCGGAATACGATCCGCAAATCGATTAGCATCCATAGTTTCACCCTGCCCGGGGATCGAACCCTGGTCAATTCGCTTGCGAGGCGAGCATGTTAACCATTACACCACAGGCTACACACATACACGGACTAACGACCACTCTTCATGGCCCCAACCCTCATAAGCCCTTATCTTCCTGGGTCCTAACACTAATGGACCCCCGTACTAATAGATAATTCTAGGCCCTTTTTGATCTAGAACCCATTTGGTATTGTAATATTTTTATATCATTTTATCCCCAAAAGGAAAATATACTAATTTGGTACATGTTTTGAATCCCAAATTAAACACTCACCACTTTGTAACAAGGTCGTGCAGTTTTAGGTGACAATACACAGGTGATATTTATAAAAACAGCTCGCTCAATATATTTTAATTAAAACGCCTCTGTTTTTTGTCAGCATGAAAACTGGCGAAGTTTTTAATCAGCGGCTGGGAAAAAAGTGTGTTTTATGATGATGATGCAAGAGTAGGGAGGATGACGTGTTGGTGGTGTCATGTTGGTGTTGTCATGTTGGTGTTGTCATGTTGGTAGTGTCATGTTTGTGTTGTCATGTTGGTGGGGTCATGTTGGTGGTGTTATGTTGGTGGTGTCATGTTGGTGGTGTTATGTTGGTGGTGTCATGTTGGTAGTGTCAGGTGTGTGTTGTCATGTTGGTAGTGTCATGTTGGTGGTGTTATGTTGGTGGTGTCATTTTGGTAGTGTCATGTTGGTGGTGTTATGTTAGTAGTGTCATGTTGGTAGTGTCATGTGTGTGTTGTCATGTTAGTAGTGTCATGTTGGTAGTGTCAGGTTGGTAGTGTCATGTTTGTGTTGTCATGTTAGTAGTGTCATGTTGGTAGTGTCAGGTGTGTGTTGTCAT